ATTTTTGGCACTGTATATTTTATTTTTGGCACTGTATATTTTTTTTTTGGCACGTATATTTTATATTTTTGGCACTGTATATTTTATTTTTGGCACTGTATATTTTATTTTTGGCACGTATATTTTATTTTTGGCACGTATATTTTATTGTTTTGGCACTGTATATTATATTTTTGGCACTGTATATTATATTTTTGGCACTGTATATTATATTTTTGGCACTGTATATTATATTTTTGGCACTGTATAGTTTTATTTTTGGCACGTATATTTTATTTTTTTGGCACTGTATATTATATTTTTGGCACTGTATATTTTATTTTTGGCACTGTATATTTTATTTTTGGCACTGTATATTTTATTTTTGGCACGTATATTTTATTGTTTTGGCACTGTATATTATATTTTTGGCACTGTATATTATATTTTTGGCACTGTATATTTTATTTTTGGCACTGTATATTTTATTTTTGGCACGTATATTTTATTTTTTTGGCACTGTATATTATATTTTTGGCACTGTATATTATATTTTTGGCACTGTATTTTATTTTTGGCACTGTATATTTTATTTTTGGCACGTATATTTTATTTTTTGGCACTGTATATTATATTTTTGGCACTGTATATTATATTTTTGGCACTGTATATTTTATTTTTGGCACGTATATTTTATATTTTTGGCACTGTATATTTTATTTTTGGCACTGTATATTTCATTTTTTAGCACTGTGTTTCGAAAAAATTGCACTGCTCTTAGCCAATCAGAATTGAGAATTTTTTCATTATATAATTACTAACAGAACATCATTTTATTTAGTTTTGAATATTTGAAGACTCGCTCAACAAGCTACTTGACCACGATTCTTTGGCTATATTCCGACAGTATCAAAGAAGCAAATAATTCTCATACTCAGGGGTTGCTGTGTTGGGAATGGATAGGCGGTACGTATGTCAACTTAGCATATGTTAAATTACATACAGAAATAAAATTTACATACTCGAATATCACAGCAGAATGTTAAACTACATGGGCACTGTCCCTGTTACTTTTATTCCTTGTGTCGTTGAATTTCCTGCCATTAATGAGTTAGTTTCACAGTTTGATGTTATATAAACTTGCTCACGCACTTGTATATCAACCAAGAGCGTCAGCTATCAGAGTGATCCTCACCGGCTTATTACATGGAGACTTGGGTGTATAACTATATACCAGGGCCGTAGCAACCGGGGGGTTGTAGCCCCCTCCCAATAAGTTGTTAATAATCATTCTTTTTTTTAAATCATGCAGACATTTACCGATTTTAAGCTTTATTAATTTTAAGCAGCTACATTATCACCAAATTGTAGATTTCGACATACAGTACTAAAACGCTGTTTTCTGACCATCAGAATTCTGTCAAATTTTCCCTAAAGTCCATGAGGTAATAACATTTCAGAGACTCTAAATTTAAAAATTTCGCTTTTAGCCCCAATATCAAAAAGAGTTTCCTACGGCCCTGCAGTATACTACTTTTTAAATACTTACTATGCTTGTCAATTTAATAGCCTACCAAGTATAATCCATGTAAGTACATGTAAAATATTGCAAAATATTGCAATGACAAACATTTGAGATTATACACACTGCTCATATACATGTCCATATTAAAAAGTTAAAAAAGCAAAAAAAAAGTTAAAAAAGTTAGATTTTTAAAAAAGTTTAAAAAAGTTAGATTAGGGGTATAAGGGGTTAGGTGCCGCGAATTACTGTAAATTCGGACTTTTACTCATATGGTAAATTCAAAGGTGGAGTTCATGCTGTAATACAGACGTCCATATAGTTTTCGTGTATATTTAAACTTTTTTTGAAAATCTTGAAAATAATGGGGTAAGATGCTCGCGATCTTTACAGTTGAATAAAACTCCCATAGCCTTTAACCAATATAAATTGTAGATAATTTTACGTTTCATTGCAATTTTAAACGATGTTTATGGTATAATGTGTCTTCTTAATTAAAATTGCTTTGAGGCAGTGTAGCCTATTAAATTTCTAAATTTCTAAATTTCTGTAATGAGAATTTTGTCATACAGTTGCTTTTGCAAGAAGGGAATGTAGAACATGATTATGTTGCCTTCTATAAATGTAAAATATTGCGAAACATTAGTCCATTTCAGGGTATTTCGCTCCAGCAGGAAAAGAACGAATAGCCTGGGAACGAGGTTAAGTTTGGTCTTGTGTATTTTCCTTTTGATATAAAGATTGAACTCAGCGTTTTCGAAAGTGTTAGTTCCCCAAAAATATTTCAGTTCCAAGATATAAAAAATTAAAATCGTTTCCGGGCACTTTTCGAGGTCACAGAAAACGGCCTAAAAATACCAAATATTTTAACATCATCCATACATATGTCGACGTTTCAAATTAAAATACAAAATGGCTAATATTTGAAAAAAAAATCGTATGATTTATAAATATGCCATGTAAAAACATCACAATTCGATACGCAAATAGTTTTTCGATTATTTGAGACATATTTGACTAATTTGTGTTCGTTTTTTTTATTCTTTTGCAGTGGCGTCATTCTCATAACTTAGACATGGATTATATTACACGGCTTAGTAAACTTTTACTGGACAAGGGAACTAAAGCTTTAAGAGTTACTTTGGATGATATTCATAATCCTGCTAAACTACCTGGAATTCTTAATGCCAAAAAGATAGAACTTTTAAAGTTAAAGCCTCTAGTTATCAATGATACCCAATGGGATTTACTGTTCCCTCCGACCGGTAACCCACCAGACTCAAAAACCTTTGATGTCACATTACTTAGTGTTCTTTTACGGAACATCTGTGGTTTGCCCCATCCTAAAGCATCAATTTGGAAAAACATGCCTCCAGACAAGGATAGAACCAAAGTAGCAAATATCACAAGAGTCAGGGTGTTCAGAAATCAAGTTGCCCACGCGTGCCCAACCGAAATTGATGAAGCAAAATTTGAGAATTTATGGCAAAAAATATCTGAGTCATTGGTTGACCTAAAGATTCCAAAACAAGAAATTGATGATTCAAAAACCAGTCCTTTGACTACCGAAGAGGAAATCTATGTGCAGAATCTTAAAAAAATTGCCTTACAAGAAGAAGAATCTAAAAATATGCTTGATGATCTTATTGCAAAAGTCAAAAGGATCGAGCAACAACTCTCACATAATGAAAGAAAAATTGACAGTGTGGAGGAACAACGATTGCGAAAATTTGCAAAGCAAGAATTCAGGAGTTTAATAAGACGGAAGGTCCAGTATTTCCACCCTGGCACAAGAGATTGGCTACTTAAGAAAGTTGAAAGTTGGTTTACAGCAGGAGATGAATCAATACTGCTGCTTATAACTGCCGGGCCTGGTTTTGGCAAGAGCGTGTTCGCGGCAAAATTGTGCGACCTCTTCGAAGAAAAGAACAAATTGGCAGCCTGCCATTTTTGCGAATTCTTGAATTCAAATTTAGGAGATCCTGTGATGTTGCTTGAGTCTCTCGCAAGTCAAATGTGTGAAAATGTCCCGGGTTATAAAGAAAAGCTTCTCGATCAACTAAGGCGACACAATGAAACAGGTAATCTTAATGAAACGTTTCAAATTTATTTACAAAATCCACTTGATGATTTGAAAGGAGAAACCAGATTGATTGTAATCGATGGATTGAATGAAAGAGCAAGCGATGATAAAAACAAAATGGCGAACTTGATTGCTCGCAAATTTCCATGTCTTTCAAAGTGTGTGAAAATCCTGGTGACCAGCAGACCTGAGCGTGATCTACAAACACTGAACTGCATTCAAATTGTTCGAATTGAGGAGTACAAGGAGGAGAATAACTCAGATCTTCTACAATATTTAAACGATTGCCTTCCCAGTCTTGCAGCCAAAGATGAAATTGATGCACCAAAGCATGATCATCACCATTCTATCTTCCTTTCCGCTATTGTTGAAAAGTGCGAAGGTTCGTTTCAGTATGCGTTTCATGCTCAGGACGAGTTAGGAAAACGCAAGGATCTTGATACCATGACGTTCGAAGAGATTTTGTCTTTTGCTCCTAAAGGAATGGATGTTGTGTACGAAGAATACTTCGACTGCCTTCAGGCTGAGCTTGAAGCTGTAACGAATGAGAAGCCTGATCTGCTTAAGCTCCTGGAATTGCTTGTAGCTTCCGAAACTCCAATTCCTCTCACGTTCGTAGCTCGGGTTCTTAATTTAGTTCCTGATAGTGTTGAAATGAGAAATATCATTACCCAAGTAAACCGAGCCATATCGTGCTTGTTGTATGTTTGGGATGACTTGGTAACCTTTTCCCACAATTCGATATATGATTGGCTTTTGGGAAAAGGCTATTGCAATCTCAAGTATACTGTGAAAATCAGTGATAGCTACAACCGGTTGCGTCAATTGTGCATGCAAGTTGTGAGGGAAATAGAAGACGAACTTAGATGGGGATACGAACCCAACATAACAAGCGAGGTGAAGTATGTTATGGATTTCATAAATGACTATGAATATCTCATGGCCCGGAAAACGAAGATTGATAATCCGATGCAACCACAAACCTCTCAGTCTGTATTACGGCAACGGGAAGACGTAGAAACCATCAAAAGTCCAGAGAAAGCTCCTAATTTAAGCGGGAAAAGAAAATGTAAGTTTGAGTTATTTCATCCTTTTTACTGTAGACTAGACTGACTAAGTAACTTTTAGTAGACTGACGAAGTAACTTTTACTTTGTCATCACCCGAAATCGTTACGGAATTCTACGAGAAACAGTACAGCGCATGGGCAAGCCAGTTGTAGCTACGTCCATTCATGGCGGCATGAAAGTCACTTTTCGCACCTATAGAAGCGCATAGCAACTCTTCGCAATTGGTAGCGAATTTCAGTCCTTTTGTTGAGTAAATCAAATATTGTTTCTTCAGTTATTTAGTTATTTTGTTGGATGACATTGACAAAGGATTTTGCTTGTTTGCAATGCAAATTTCATCCAACATGGCGAAAATCGCTTTGTCTTTTCAATCCCATGGGAGTGGTTGCACATCACCTATGTCAATGATTGTATATTACATGCACTTTATACATACATAACAACTGCAATTAATGATATTGAAACAAACAGTTTAGTAAATAATTGCTTACAATTTTTTGCTTAAACTCAACTCCTATATTCAATGTTGCATCACCGTGCCGGGAAGGTGTTACTTTGTGGTTTATAGCCTGATCGGTTTCGTTTTAGGTTACTCAGATCATTCAGATCAAATTCAAAAAATTCAGAAAATGCACACATAATTCGAATGACACAGTCCATAATGCTATCTTGTTGCTGCCGTGCGTATAAAATTTCTATTGCCAATTGGTAACCTTCAACCATTTTAAATCATTACGTAATATTTCCAACAAATATAGCAACCGAGCCGACGTTGGAAGAAATCACTCAAGGCGAAAATAGTTCCTGTTTTAAAGAAATATTCCTTGACTCTAAACACAATATCAAGAAAGAGATTGACGAAAAATTAAGAAGGTATTATTTAACTATTTACACTAACTTTTGTATATATATAAGATTATCTTCGAATCAGCGACGCGTTATTGCCGTTCCAGAAGATAGGGCGAGGGTACTAATTTAGCTCGGCTGTCTATACTAGGGGAAAAGGAGAGCATAGTTAAAAAAAGATTTTTTCTTTCTATATTGACTATGAGGAAAGCAAGCACATAGAAGGTTAATTAATAATCGCGGGTACATGACCGTGTTTCATAATGTCATGTTTCATGGTGTGTGGGTGGACATATATTCACTGATTTAAAAAATATAGCTGTTTGGCAGGAGTTGGGATAAGCCAGATATCAATTTTCAAAAAACATGTACTTGAAAAATCGTTTCATACAATGAGCTTTTTTTAAAGGTCTTTAAACTATATTTTTTCCATTTTTTACCAAAAATATTAAAAATTTAAAATATTTAAAATGATTGCGTTGCCTATGGTAACACTTTATTAAGGCACAACGCGAGCCTACTTTTATTGTTTATTATAGTACTGTATAGAAATAGTCGCTGACGGTTGTTCTATTCGAAGTACTTATATTTGCGCTGAGAGTTTAGAATAATTTGTTTTGGCGCGAACTATGAGCAGAGGCGCCGGAATATCGATAACTGGGGGGCAGATATTCATATATTCGTGTTCTGCCCAATTAATTTCTTTTGAAATCGATTGTTTTTACAGTCTGCGAACACGAATATATGAATATCTGCTCCCGCTATTATCGATATTCCGGCGCCTCTGACTATGAGGATGATTATATTGATTTAGGAACTATAATTATAGAGAAGTAACACTCTCCTCCGCAGAGCCTTACGAATTTTTAGTAAAATTGCGTAATTTAAGGGGGGGGGGGGGACAAATTACGCAAGGTATGATGGGAAGACGGAAGCTACGTAAGGCTGTAAGGAGGAGAGTGGAGAAGTAACAAAACGCTAATTACTCCGGGTACTGTAAGTACCAGAGTATTAAAATGTCAGATCTTTTTTCTTAGGCGACACAAGTGTGCACATCCACAGGTGCACCGTACGTAACGCACTACAAAAATTACGAAATATCTAAAAATAGCCGCCATTCGTAGTAGAACGGAGCGAGCGTTGTGTTTACAATGTATTTTGTTCTATTTACAGTAAATATTATCAAATGGAGCGGTTCTCGTACACTCGTTTTTATACAGTGACCACAGTTCATAATACAAATCGAAATTCGAGACTTTCTCGCTTGTCTAATAGCGCCGGTTGCCGTTATTACTAGTTCTGATCGACAAATGGCTTAGTTCGTTACTCGTTATTTTTTAAATTTTGTCAACACTGTACGTAGTTAATTAAATTGTGTTAACACTCGTCACTCGTGTTCTTTAAGTCTCCCTTTGTGCCTCAGGTCGTAGCCAAAACTGAAGTATAAACATATTGAAGCACCAATCTATTCGACATATGACATAATTATTAGCCCGCGTGCATGCAGGCCCAAGGGAAGAATAGTGGGCCGGCAGGCAAGGCCCGGTATTTTGTACTTTCCGCGTTCGCCCACGAACGCGGCATTCTGATTGGCTGTTTTCTGCTGGACTCTATAATTAGATCACTGATTCATCACAAAGGCTCTCGATAAGCTTAAAATTCGAAAATCGATCACTGTTTTCGATTAAAAATGGAACAAGAACGGACTGTTTATTGTTTACTTGAAGGAAGAGATGTTTTTGCCATTATGCCAATGGGGATTGCTTGTCGTGAAGTGTTGGAATAGCAACATTACGACTGGGGTAAACTATAGTATTATCATAAACCTTTACTTGAGTTTACATTAATTTCAAGACTTGATACGTTATATGTTCCTCAAGAAAAGTATCTTTTGATTGATGTTGACTCTGTTCTTGCACTGAAGAAAACAGCGCTTTTCGCGGTGAAGATTTAGAGGCAGTTGCATGTAAGCCTATTCGAAACACTTTGCGATTTGCAAGGCTTCGCTGAGAAAGCGAAACAGAAGACGGTATTAATTGCCGTTTGAAACGAAATGATCTGGACTCTGAACCATCTCTTCTTTTGTAGAGTTCTTTACCAAATGAAATAACTGAAATAAATTTCGTGCTTTCCGCCGCCAACAAGAATTGCACACACGATCTGATAAGTGAGACAATTTATTTATAACAACAGCGACAGCGAAGCACACATTTAAATGCTAATGTGGTCGCATGCACGACTTCCCTCACAATTTGAAGTTTGAGACTGGTTTTCTGTTGAAATTCGTCCTAATTTACCTGTCCCGATTTTAGTTGAAAATGAGTACTTGTAAATTTGGCAATTACTGACTGCGTTGCTTGCTTTTTTGGAGTTAAAACACAGCCATTTACGGCATTGTTTCAATTGCTTCATCTATCTTGTTGCTTCGTCTGAAAGAGCATGAAAAAATAAGCCGATTGGCCGTTTAATGCTCTATTCTATCTCATCTAGTTCCGAAGTTATACGCAAAAATGTGCAAAATATAAATTGCTGACTCAGCACAACGTGTGACGTCATTAGCTGGGTAAGTATGTTTATTGAATACTACACTGAAGCATAGCTCAGTTATTATGGGCCCAAATCAAATGAAATTTTGGATACTGATTGTACATGATGAGACGCATGGAAAAACACTTCTAATTTTGTTGCCAAGGTAACAATGTCGTTCCCAGGCCCCTTGCGCCAATTTTATAAAACAGCTTTATTCAAGGTACTGATAAAATAAAATAATATCAGAAGTATGTGTACGATACCTATGCATGCCGAAAGTTTACTTGCATGATAATAATTCGAAAATGACATACACATAGAGAAATGCAACTAGTTATTCAAAATCAGTGTAAGGGTCCTGGGAACGACTGTGTTGCCTTGACAACAAAATTAGAAGTATTTTCCCATGCATCTCATCATGTACTATCTGTATGCAAAATTTCATTTGATTTGGGCCAATAATAACTCAGCTATGCTTTAGTTTACTATTCCATAAACATACTTACCCAGCTTATGACGTCACACATTGTGCTGAATCAGCAATTTATATTTTGCACATTTTTGCGTATAACTTCGGAACCAGATGAGATAGAATAGAGCAGTAAACGGCCAATCGGCTTATTTTTTCATGCTCTTTCAGATGAAGCAATAAAATCAATAAAAGTTTTTGTTGCCCATACCCTTTAATAAAAGCAGAGAAAACCCCGCAACATTTTAATGCGAGTTTGTTTGTTAATATTTGGGTTCCTGTCATTGGTTCTTTTTGACAATTGACGCGCGAATGGGGCGTGTTATGAAAAGGGGCGTTTTACAAAATACCGGGCCTTGCTTGCAGGCCCACTGTTCTTCCCTTGGGCCTGCACGCGGGCTACATAATTATCTGAAACTCTTCGATTTACGAGACAATCTATATCGCAAACTTACGGAGCCGTATTAGTGCCATTGAAATATTGCGATTGAATTTCATATTTCTCGACTTTTTTCTCGCGTCTAACATTTTTTCTCGCGTGTGAAATTTTTTCTCGCGTCTAACTTTTTTTCTCGCGTCTGAAATTTTTTCTCGCGTCTGAAATTTTTTCTCGCGTCTAACATTTTTTCTCGCGTCTGAAATTTTTTCTCGCGTCTAACTTTTTTCTCGCGTCTGAAATTTTTTCTCGCGTCTAACATTTTTAGTCGCGTCTGAAATTTTTTCTCGCGTCTAACATTTTTAGTCGCGTCTGAAATTTTTTCTCGCGTCTAACTTTTTTTCTCGCGGCTGAAATTTTTTCTCGCGTCTAACATTTTTTCTGGGTTAGGATAAAACGCGGATATGGACGGACGGATGGATGGCGGACGGACGGACGGACGGATGGATGGCTATCAAAAAACTTTTTCAGCCTTTTTTGAGTCATATACGCGTTTTACAGTAAAAGGATAAAACGCGGATATGGTCAAAAGAATGTCGACGTCAATGCAGTTATCGGTTTAAATATACCTACAATTCCCGTTAAAATATGACAATTTTTGTACGCAAACGCGAATTACAATTGCCACTTTCAAGATTAATTTTCTGTTATCCGGTCGTGTAGTAATCTAACTTTATGCGGCCACTTTGGCATATACATTGGCATAAAATGCATTTTAAA